AAAAAGATATTTTCATCAAGGGTGAACTGCAGTTTCGAACCCTCCTCGAGATTCCAACCGTTATGCGTAGCCTATAATTTGGACACGTCAATCATTACGCCACAGTGCCACAAGTACCCTTGAGTCACAGGGCGAAACAGGGTAAATAAAGCTCTTATATATGCATACAATGTTCAGATGCACTAGAGGTACGTGTGAGGTAGGTTTAATCATGATTTTACATTCACATCTCTCCCAGAATAGAGGAAAATGCGGAGGTCCGAAAAAAATAAACAGGTTATTACATGCCAAGGAGCTTTAAGACGTAGGGTTTTCTAGTTAATTTAAGCAGCCAAATGTATTCGTTCATCATATTTATAAAATTGATTAACCTTAATCATACGAATACATCATTTGACAGTTTAGTCTTAACATAGATGTGAAAGCCAGAAGGTAAAGCTATAGGTTTGGCAGCGGTCCATTTTCATTTTAGTGTTGATTTGTCCTTATTTCCCCAACTTAGTCGGGGTAATGGTGATACTTTGTAGAACTTACTTAGTCGATATCTTCTGCTAGAGTAATCTTGATAATTCCAACTATTGGACTGCTGATTTGGTATATGTCTAGATGATTCGCCTGTAAGGTAGTTGAAATCGTGAGATACACCATCAGATGTACTAAGTTAAAACTCGTCAAAATAAGAAGCGAAGCCAAGCTTCTTGACTAATTTTTAGCTCATACATTATGCTATATCTCTTCTCCCTTTTGTCCTAGCTCCGAAAGCTTTATCATCATTCCTCGATTACACTAATCATGGTAAATTTACCTATCTATACCTCTGTTCTAATATCTCCCAATAGTATCACTCCAATAGAACTTATTAAAGAGTAGTCATCCTCATAAACAGTTTCGGAAGACGTCCGCAGGGTTTCTGGATACCAAGTGACGCTTTCCCTCGTTCATCCACTTCATCCAAATTCTGTTAGCTATTGTTTTCCTTTAATCGAAGGTATGAAGACCAAGATAGCATGCCCTTTCCCGGAGCAAGTGCGTTCCTCTCGATCTTCCTGCCAATATAACCAAGTTACAAAAGCAAGGTCAAATAAGTTTTATATTTCTTGACTTAGTTGGAAACAAATGTTTTGTCTAACTGGCTGACTATAATCCCTCAATCCCAGCAAACGTCGCCATAAGGAACAAGGACTTATTCGAACGACAAAACCCAACAGTATGTAGGACCTTATCATGTTACTTGAGCTTCGTAGACCCTGTGTCCCAGCACCTACCTACCCTCACTAACTCCCACCCCGTTTTCTTACATTCTTTGGGGCCACTGCAACTGGCTTCCATAAATTGAAGACCTACTGCTTTGGTTATCCACTATTAAATCAGGTAAAACATTCCTTTTGCTCTGTCGCATTATCCTTCCAATTTATTCCCGAGATCTCGCTTCACTCAGTGCTGCGTACATGGGTTGGTAAATAACAATGTCAAGCGTGCTATTAATCACCCCCCTCGCTTAGCCAATGTACTGAGAGCCAACTGAGACTACGCCATCAGCCACCACTGCAACACCCAAATGGAGTTAAAGATCAAGATCTTGAAATTCGCATCCGTAACGGCAAACTATTCGGGCGTTATATCTATCTTCCAACCCTAAAACTTTTCGAAACTGATCCTAAATTTGACTTCTCCCATTGCAGCCAATAATGTAACATTTTTCACGGTCGTCTCAGCTGACACAGCAAACTTAAAAATGATCCATTGTGTTGGCCTTTGCATGTTATGAGATAAGCTGGCGAAGTGTGACGTCTTTTTTTCCAAGTATTAACAATTATTCTATTTCATTTGCAGCAGTCACATCTTCAGGACCAGTTTACATAAGGGTAGACATATTAATTATTAGATATATAAGGTTATATTTTAGAATCACTGTCTTGATGCTTGTATATCACAAACCATATATTTATTTGTATAAATTGAAGTGAATATCCATTCCTGACAAAAATCCGAAATGATTTATCCAAAGCCTTTCCCTATAACTCTGCATCTCTTAGTCATAGGCTCCTTTAAAACATACTCCTTATTATACCGATCTTCACTTTGTGGTGATTGAGAGTGAAAATTATTTACTCTCCTGACATGGGATTTAGTAATGAATAACCATTCTAAGGGTTGAGAAGATTACCCTTACACCCGAAAGCAGTATTCCATCCTCCACCATTTTCATTGTGAATATAACTTTTTCATTAAGGTGATTCAATGACCTAAAGAAAGCCTCCCAACTTTCTTTTTCGAGTGGCCAGAATGTGATGTAGTCATCTAGAAGTAGAAGCCAGTAGTGGCATCCTGAACTATTCCTTCAACTATTTCATTTGGATATTAGTCAGAAGGCAGGAACTTGGTGAACGCATAAATAGACCAAATATCTTATCATAGATACGACCATTGAATGTAAAAAAGGTCGTCCTTATTGTCAGGTCAATTAAGGTCGCCAAAGACTCCTTCTATATCAACTCACCTTGAAGAATATCCTCTTTCTTTTCCAGGATTTCCAAAAGTTCCATGTGCGCTTTCACTCCTGAGATGTTCGTATATGTTGAATGCATACAAGAGCTTACCAACCATTCTAATTCTTCATGTACTTTATCCTTTGAGAGAATTCACATGAATTCTTTGCAGTATCCAACCTTCTATCGCTATTCTACTTTAGGTTGAAACAAATCAATTTAGCCGGTTTATGCGTTAGTGGCAATTAATTTTAGTGACAGGCCTTTACTTATCTTCGTTAGTCCATACGCTCTCGATTGCCTTGCGTCCTGTCATACTAGTTAATTCATTAATAAATCATCAATCATCAATTCTAAATTTTCTATTAATTATTTTAACACGTTTGGTAGAATTTTATTGTCAGCATTCAAAAGACAGTTTTCTTCTTCAAAATGAGTCTAAATTCCCTCCATATGTCTTTTCATTCAATTTTGATGTTCTACCTATCTTCTTTTGATTCTCGCCATATTGAATTATTTTCACTTCGCTTTTTGCCCATTTCAACAGACTAAAGGAGACCTTAGTTATTTCCCCTAAATAGCTTACCATGATGGTATAGAAGAATGGTTACACTCTCTAGGGTCACGCTGTAACCCCAAACAAGTTGTATACAGCTAGATAATAATGCGATAAAGCCCAAAGCTACATCATGTTGAGGTTCATATGTAAGAAAAAATATGACGTTTTGAAATTCTAGTACGAGTGTTAAATCAGGTGAAATGATTAATGCTGGATAAGCGATAGTAAAGAATTTTTTTTT